GGGTGTGTCCTCAACGGCAGTTAAGTCAGGCGAGCAGTCCCAAACGGCAGTTAAGTTGGCGTAAGAGGAAGGGCTTCATTGCTTTGATCCCCGAATTCAAGGGCTTATATGCATCAATTACAGTCTAGGGGCTTAATAGCGCTTCTGGGGTTGGTTCAGGGGCTTAACTTATGGTTTTGCCTTTTCAAAAAAAGAAAAAGAAAAACCCGAATTTAGGCAGCCCCATTTTGCATGAACCAGTGGACGGCAGTACTCCGACACGCATCTGCTTTATCGCACCGTGATGACTGATGAAGGGGAGGTTAGGATTCTGGAACGTGGTAGGCAGACTCCTCGAGGAAACGGATGTTCCAACAATTAAACTACGTGGCCCTCCCACATTGGAAGATCCGAGGATGCATAACCGACATGAAATTTACAACTGTCAAAAAAAACCCCGCCTCCAAGTTCAAGTTGGCAATCAAGAATATCCCTTTAGATATTCTACGACGGTAAAACTTACCTATTTCCATCGCCACTAAAACCTCAAGTAGGGTCATAAATATCACCAAAATCACACCAATCAAAACTGTCATAACCAGATCAGACGGCTGCGGATGATTCAAAACTCGACCAGACGTTCTAAGCCGATTACGAAGTCGGTTAGGTGAGATTGATAAAATGATGCCAAGGGCTTAAGCTTTACCACCTTCAAGACGATCGTCTTTCCTGGCAAAACGACGTCGGTTATTATCTGACGTTCAAATCACGCACTACTGGAGAACCCATTAAACGGAAGAGCTGAAAGTCTGAAGCTTGAAGAAGGAAACGAAGAAATTTCTGAACTTTGAGTTCAAAGCTCCATCTTTTACGATAGGGGCTTCACTTTTTAGGGTTAAAGTTTCCAGATTTTTTACTTTGTCAAGGTATGCAAGCAGAAGCAAGAGTTGGGATGGTGAAGTCTGGCAATGGAGGGGTGTCCTCGGTGGACAACGCTGCGCTCAAGTTGAAGCAACAGCAAGAGCTGTTGAAGCAGGGGAAATCCCAGATGGGTACAGGTTCGCAGCTTCTTGCAGGAGGGGTAGCTGGTGCTCTGAGCAAGACCTGCACTGCGCCTCTGGCTCGGCTTACCATTCTCTTTCAGGTTTGTTTGTCATGTCTGTTTCTTTGTTTTCTTCTTTACCATTTTATTATATGGTAATTTGTGGGTTGTTTTCCTTATTTGAGATTGCAGAGGATAAAAAACCCTTTCTTAAAATGGTGAGAGCATTTTATGATAGTTGACCATTGTAATAATTTATGCTTTTAATTGTTGCATATGCACGGAATTGGACTTCTAAAGCATGCATCCCTGCATTAAATGGAGTTGTTGATTTGGTTTCTTTTGTCCTGAATGTCCGTCATTCCCTATATTTGGTTTATGTCTTAGTGGTTTAGTCAATTAGTGTTGGTGGGATCTTTTTATTGGACAAAACTTTTACCTGTACTCTTTTATCTGACTTCTTCATCCTTACTGGCGTTGTCATATTTAATAGGTGCAAGGAATGCACTCTGATGCCGCAATATTGAGGAAAGCAAGCATATGGCATGAAGCATCAAGAATTATTGGTGAGGAGGGATTTAGGGCTTTCTGGAAAGGGAACCTGGTTACAATTGTTCATCGTCTACCATATTCTGCTGTCAACTTTTATGCATTTGAACACTACAAAAAGGTTAGAATAAGCATTGTACAGTTGCATCCCATTTACAATATTGTTGCGTAGGTGGTTTTTTCTCAAGCATTCTTGTCCTTATGGTATGTCATGTTCATGATTTGTGTTTGTGCTTTATACATTGCAGTTACTACACATGATTCCAGGAATGGAAAGTCATGGGAAAAGTATGACCGCAGACATTGGCATACATTTTATATCTGGTGGCTTGGCAGGAATAACAGCTGCATCAGCTACATATCCACTTGATCTTGTGAGGACACGCCTTGCAGCCCAGGTTAGACAAATTGCAGTTGGAGCTAATGAGTGTCTTCTGTTTTGCTTCTCTATTAACTTTTTGAGTTCCCACATATGCAGACAAATGTAATCTACTACAGAGGGATATGGCATGCTTTACAAACTATCTGCAGAGAGGAAGGCAGGTTGGGTTTATACAAGGGTCTTGGGGCAACACTTTTGGGTGTCGGGCCTAATATAGCAATTAGCTTTTCAGCTTATGAGACCTTCAGATCTTTCTGGCAGTCACAAAGGTGATTATGCTTCACTTTGATTTATTACTTTTGTGGCTTTAATGTGTCTGTGTATAATTAGCATTTCATGTGTCACTTATTTGAGCCTAAGATTTTTTTTTTTTTTTCCAATTGTTTTCATTACATCAGGCCCAATGATTCAACTTTTGTTGTCAGTCTGGCTTGTGGAAGTCTTTCTGGGATTGCATCGTCAACAGGTGAGTTATCTTTAAAGCCGATGGTGTTGGAAGGATGGTTTGTCTCTGATCATTGAAGTTGAAATGTATTAATATAGTTATACTTTTTCTATCAATTTTAGTGCAGTATTGTATTTCAATTTTCCCCAATTTGTTATCCTTTAGGTATAACCTAATGTCTGTTAGAAAATTTCTGAAAAATAAGGAAATGTCTGATAATAGACCAGGCAGAACTTCTGGCCTGTAAGTTGGAGTGATCGTAGAAGCATACCTACCCTATACTCTACCAGTTGTTGATTTAGAAAGTTGTTTAGTAGAAACAGTTTCCATTGTACATATTTGATATAAACAATGACAGTGCTCGACATAGAAGTTAATCAATGCAGCTCTTTACTATGGTTTTGATGCAGAGAAGCAGGCAGTGGTGCAGGCTCTGCATTAAGTATCTAACCAGACTGAACCCCTAGAATCAGGGACCCAGAATGGAGTTTTAG